GTTTTGTGTGTCTGTTACATTTGTTTACTAGAAAATTAACACGGTAACTCCACTGATACTAGAATGGTTAATAGGTCCTCCATCTATCCTCCCTGTACATCTCAGCTGCATCATCTATTGGTGAATGTGCGTTCCCTAAAAACCAGAGCTATGCATATACAGTAATGATCCCTGAAAACGATAGAGCGTGCGACGAGGCGTGAACTGGAGCGCTGCCAAGGCGGCTTTTCCACCAATGATGCCATCTCGAGTCCGCAACAATTGGCGGTGGCTGCAATCCCAAGAATGCCCCTTTACACGCCCTTTCCTGGCAGGGATCACTTATGGAAGGGCGAACTGAGTCTTCGAGGTATTTGTGAACAAGACACCACAGATGTGAGCGTAGAATCGTATCGTAATTCGAAGAAAGAAATATGCTGGATATGTAAATGAATGCTTACGAGGTGCTATATAGACGTCGTTCGGGACCCGTGGAGGTATCTTATCTTCATCTTTGGCAAAAGGCAGTCGCAGGGTAGGCTTGTTTTCTACAGTTGTTGTGAAGTCCTGGCCCTTCTTACCGCGCTAGAATAAAGACTTTCATAGTAGTTTGTTCAACTAATCAACTACCTGACTAGTTCACTGCGCTGCGGATGAGTGGACATGTCAACGAGGCTGGGTTTGGAGTGCCACCAGCTCATTCTCCTTTAGTTAGTGAAGCGGTAAGCGGCAAGAACTGGCAAGAGACGATTGCTACGAACAGAATGATAATTTGTCGCTTCCGAAGCAGAAAAAGAAAAAAAAACGGGCTGGAGCTGCGCCAAACCCACTCCCTTCAACACGCCCATCATCCGCAGCAAACAAGACTGTACAGTCGCACTCACGTAAGTGGACTTCGGTTTTACCAGATCAGAACCGTCAAATAACGCGGGATAGGTATGAATAGAAATGACACCTGCCAGTACTGAACGGACAAATTAAGAGTAACTCCCTCAAAAGTAGTGCTAATAGTAGTGGAACTCACCACATACCACCCATAAACCTTGGATAAAGTACGGTTTGCTTCGACAAAAACGTTGAGAAGCTCCTAGGTCTGCTATCAGTTTATCACAGTGCGGGCGGAGTAGTTTATCACAGTGCGGGGAATGATTGCTGATAGCCTTCTGGAACGCTTATGTTGTAGCCGTTTGAGAAACATTGCATTTCTGGAGACAGTCCATATCTGTAGGCGAAAAGGGGCGTGACGGCCAGTGCGGCAATGGGTCTACGGACAACTTAAACTCAATCCCTTGAAACGCGTCGAATTTGCGTTTTTCTCTGCTCTCTCTCGTCCGCGTGGCACTCTGTGGTGTGACTTCGCACATTCCAGCTTTTCACGTATGATAAGTGGCTCACCCACCCCGGAGTCCCTCCCCTTGAAAAAGCTCGTTTCCTGGCTCGCCATAGTTTCTTGCACGTCTCGATGCTTTGGCAGGCGCTGTCCTCTATCTGTCTGCGTCTCTTGGTTTCGCAACAGGACCATGCATAAAAGTTCAAGATGTCACGTAACCGCGGCAATGACTGGGAGGGTTCGGCGAAAGAGAGGCAGAGACGCATATAAGAGAGGAGAAACAGCACGAGCGCAGCCGTCGCAGTAACGCCCCTTCTGCTTCCGTGGGGGTACGTGACATGACAATCGTAACATGCCGCACAGATGAGTTTGTCGAGGGACGCCGCGCCCGACAGGCGAGTTTTCCAGCGCGGTCGTTTGAATATGAGTGTCAAGGAGACGAAGAAACTCAACCTCGCCTGTCGTGAAGTCGCGTGTTTGCTTGAACCTATGAGTTTCCCCGGGTTCAATCAACAAATTAATGCACATCGAGAATTCGCATGGTCGCACAATAGGCCGCACGCGGCGACGCGACAAAGTACGATTGTCTTGTCCGTGTCCCTTCCGGTGTTGCGATGAACCGTTAGGACTAATGACGAGCTAGCGAACATCCAGGAATGTAAGTATCAGGCCTAAAACTCACTTCCACTTTGTTAACAAGATCGACTGACTTTTTGTGTCCTGCAGAATTGTTCACCTTAATAATATTGCCATTAATTCGGAAATAATCCTTTTTATCATGAAAATGGTCTGATCATAGGAAAAAGTGAAGATTTTCCGACAATTTGCAGAAGTGAATGGTTTTTGTGGTGTTATTAGTCAAGAATCACGTTCGCCCGAAAAATTACGGAGTGGGGTGGGGGTGGTCGAACCCCTAAAAAGGAATGTCCGTACGACCCGTTCCCTTCTTATTGTTAGTGACTGTGGGGTTGTGGAGGTATCTGCTCTGTTCATCAGGATGTAGCTGTACATATTGCGTTTTATGCGAATTTTAGCCACTAAGTACCTGAGTATTTAGGATCATTTTTGGAACCAATCTAACAAAAGCAAGGAAAACTGAAGGATTAGTTTTTCTTCAGAAGTGATGTAATGCACAAAGTGCAACTTCGGAAAGAGCTCATGCTGGCGCCGTCCAAACGAAGCAACGCAAAATCGGGGCATTGAGCGTACTGTGGCTGCGTCGCGTATCGAGGTTGGAGCGCTATCGGGCCATTCACATAGTACTTTTTGAAAGGGTATAAGTTTATTCAGAAACCATCTTTCGCAGAGCG